TATTAAGTGTTAACAAACTTTGATTGACTATATATGTAGTATATATATATATTAATAATGTAATATAAATTCAGAGTATGCTTAAAGCTCTTGTTTCTGATATTTTACAGTTAGGACTTAGCCTTACGATTGTTGTTTCTGTTATTAAATAAAAAATAAGATCTCTAACCATCTATTAATTTTAACTTAAGATCAAAAGGGATTCATTTTCCTAGATTACTTTTAAAGATTTTGGTTGTAATATAAAAAAAATTACTTTGGCTTTGCAAATATAATAGTTTTTAGCTTCCGATCAAACTTAAGTGATCTTTATTTCTACCTTGGCTCCCATACTTTTTCAGAATCAGCCCCTAGCTAAAATGCTTGGAAGCTAAGAGTCGCATGTTTATGTTACTTGTGTTTCTACATTTTAAAGATGTGAGTCATTTAGAAACATATCACGTCCCCTTAAATACATTTTAACATCATTTAAAATTAAATGAAATGTATCACTTGAAATCATCTATGCTGACTAGATACTGGGAGCAGTATAGAGCAGTAAAATAGACTGTTGATAAGCTTGGTAATCACATATTTGTACATGTTTATGTATCATTAGAGGGGTCAAATGGTTAAGCGATTGGCTTCCAAACCTGAGGTCCTGGGTTCGAATCCCAGTGAGGACTGGGATTTTGGATTTCGGGATTTTTAGGGCGCTCCTGAGTCTACCCAACTCTAATGGGTACCTGACTTTAGTTGGGGAAAGTAAAGGCGGTTGGTCGTTGTGCTGGCCACATAACACCCTGCTCGTTAACCGTTGGCCAAAGAAACAGATGACCAAAACATCATCAGCCCCATAGATGGCAAGGTCTGAAGGGGGAAACTTTTTTTTCTTTACTATGTATCATTACAGCATGATGTAGTAAACTTATAAGTATGTGCGTAACCAAAATGTTAGATATTATTATCAAACAGAATTCAACAAAAAAAAAGGTAAATCTTATTTTTGCTATTACAGTTGGATACCAAAGCTGGGAGTGATGAGACTGTGATGACCTTTATTCTTCAGGATGAGGACCACACTTTAGGGAATGCTCTGAAATATATGTTGAATAAAAAGTAAATACTTATCTTTTTAATATTATATATAACACACTAAGTACTGCATTGCCTTGGCTGACATAGAAGAGAGCACCTGGTTGATACAGCCTCATGTGAGACAGTTGGAGGTCACTCACAAAGGCTGCAGGATATACATATGAGACCAAAAGAAAATCGGCTGCCGCGGACAAACGCAGACGGCGAAAAGAAAATCTAAATTGACCACCTGCAGATAATGGTTGTGCTTACCCTGGATGATATGTAGGTCACAGCTGGAGCTGCACAGTCACTGGAAATACAGCATTCCTCACTGATCTTTGGGCTCGAAGACAAGCCTTATTATTATTTTAACACACTAAGCTTTATTGAATGAATTATAATCAATTAAATTGTTACATTTTGATGGATAATATTAAATGCAATAAGCTACTCAACTCTTGATATTTAATTTAGTCCTCAGGTAACGTTTGTTGGCTACAGCATTACACATCCATCAGAAAGTAAAATCAACTTACGTATACAAACAACAGGTAGGATCATAACAACTTCTGATTGATTAAAACTTTGTTGTTCATCACTCACTAAGTCTTCACACAGCATAGCTTTTTCATCACGGAAAATGTAGAGAAAAACTCTAGCAATGCAGCACTAAGTTCTCATAAAGTTGGTTTTTTTTCTAACTGGATTAAGGAAACTTGATACTTGGCAAAGAAAAGACAAAACATCTTTTTATAATGTATACAACACCAACATAGCTTTATAGATAATTCATTTCTTTCCCTTGTTAATTATGATCAATCAGTAGCTTGCATGTTTCACATCATTCTGATAACCATCCTAATGAGCTCCAAATACAAATAAAGTAATGCCATTCCCTTGTCTAGGTGTTCCAGCAGTGGATGTATTGAAGCAAGCTTTCAGAGACCTAAAGAAGATGTGCTCACACATGCTGACAACATTTGAGGTGAGATTTTTTTAAAGCAATATCTATCAAAATTATTTGTCAAATTTAAGAAATTTTCAGTGCTGTACATTGAAAAAATCAATAGGATTTTATTCTTGAGAATTATATTAATTTAAAAAGTAAGCCATAAATCGAATCATGATTTAATGTATCAAATTAGTTTTACCAGTGAAACTAAAGCCCTTAGATAGACAAAACTAAGTACTTCTATAAGAAAACCTTACTTTCATTGTTACTATATTATTTTTAGTTTTTTTATTTGGCGATTGAAATAGGTGTGCAAAAGACTGTCCTGGTTATCAGTTGAATTTGATCATATTTATATTAACTTTTGCCACACAGAGCTGCTTAAAAAATCTTAAAAAACATTTGGGTTTGATTAAATTACTGGTTAATATGTGCTATGTACTTCAGATGTTCTTTATCCATGATGCATGAAATGACATTTCCAAACAATTTGTACATCAATTTTTTTCCTCACAAAGAGCTTTTTTTAATTCAACGTAAAATTTTCATCTAAATAAAATAAATTCCATACACCTACCCCATGCAGGAACTGCACTTATCCTAACAAAACTTAAAAATCATATTTTCTTAGTATGCCCTAGTTTAGTTCACCTCAGACATATTCAATTTCCTTTAACAATCCAACAGTGCAAAATAACTGAGAAGCACTTTTTCATGAAACAGATTGGAAAAGAGCCTACCTCTTGGCAGCAAAAAGCTGGCTAAATAAAATAATTCTGTACCAAACCTATGCTTGTATTATACAATATCAGCTATATAGGTATGCTAATGACATGGTGCTTATGTTGTACATTCTTATCAGTACATGTAGTGTATGTTCCATGTTCTAATGTCTTGATGCTTGGATTCTTAACTATCATCTATTCCACAGTACGTTGTACTAGTAATGTGGTGTGAGTGTGTTATATACTCCAATATATGTACATTCTCTGCCCTTTGACCTGATATGTACTAAAGGCTTGTACACCACAGTAAACCATTCACTGCACCACAATGCTAAATTTTTTATTTTTTTTTCTATTTTTCTACTGCATTGTCTAGTCCTCTACTAAATACTTTAAAGAAAACCACATGGAGGAGACATTAGACAGCCATCCTTGACATTTGTGGCATGACATCTTCACCTGTACATATATCAAAGTAAGTTGATTTTCCTGTTTTGTTTTGATGCTAATGCTTGTATGTCACATTACTTTGAGTTTTAATTTAAAAAGTGTTGTTTTTTTTTAATGAAGTAAATTAAACGGTGAAAATCAACATCCAGTGAAGAGAAAATCTTTTTTACTTGCTATTTTTACTTGCTATAATTAGTAAAGTAATAGAGTTCTGAGTTACTAATTGTCAAATGTGTATAAAATGATTTAATGAACACAAACTGTCCAACATATTCAAGATGGATGAAAGGAGATTTGTTCTTTGCAATGTAAAGATCATCCACCTGTGTTTGAGTTTGAGCAGCTTTTCTTTGCTATTATTGTGGTTATAGAACTTCTCTGTTACTATGTCATATTTCTTTACTCAAGATTTTCAGTTCAGTGATGAGTTTTTTCTGAACTAAGATTCTATGTTTAACCATGTTTCTGTTTGAGCAGTTAAGGTTTCGACATTTGATGGGAGTAAAATGTAGTGTTTTCTATTCTGAAGTTTACAAAATGATTTAAGATGTTGCTTGAGTTAGAAGTGTCAGCATCAATAAACGGTCCTGATGTAAAATTAGCTAACCCAAACAGACACAGATGCATCCATGTAACTCAAAGTATACAGAGTCTGTGTGTGCAGATGCTGTGCATGGTACCATTTATGGCAGGTGTCACATTGAAGGGCTTTTTGTTTTTTATTGCAGTTGTTATTTTTTTAAATAAATTGTATATTTATCTGTAGGTCCTGGCTTTGAGTCTACATAGCCAGCCATTAATATTAAAACTGATAGATTGTTGTGTTTTTGTGTGTGTGTGTTTATCAGATGGTTACTTGCTAATTTCCATTTGTGAAAGGATATTTTCTTTCCTGTTATAGTAATGTTTTTGAGATTATGTGATTCGTGATTACTGTAGCATTTCTAATTTAGAATGCTAGACTTTAGATATTATGAGTATTTTTATTACTAATTAAATTTCTTTGTATTGGATATATTAGGATCTAGCCATTTCTTTTCATTGTAAATGTAAATAGAAATTATTTATTTGTGTCTAAGCTTTTAAATATGTGTGTCCTACATCTTTTCAATAATTGGACCCTGGTCTAAAATAATAATATAGATTGTCTTTAAGCCTGAAGATTAAGATTAAATGGTAGTGCAGTATAAAATATTGCATGGCCCCCAGCCTGTGTATTTTTAAATTGATAATTGACTTGTGCAGGCCAACACCACTCTTTACCCTAAATCTTTTTCAGATTGAGCTACTTTAAAATCACAGCTTACAGATAGATAGATATATTTGTTTTTTAAATTTGGATAGGAAATTGGTTAGAAATTTAAAAAAAGCACTATTGAACTTACTTTTAAAAAGCTGAAAATAAACAAATAGGCCAGCTCAGGCCAGTGGAATAACTAGCAGTAATATGTACCTAGAATTAGTTTAATTTGCAACTGTAACTTTGTGAATTTAGTTTTAACTATTGAAATACATTTGATTTACTTGATTTAAAAGTAATCAACAAAGAAAAGACAAAGCATCTTTTTATAATGTGCACAACACCAGCATAGCTTTATTGACATTTCTTTAACTTGTTAACTTTGGGTTCTTGGCAGTTCACTGCTTCAGTTTTAAATTATGATATTTCAGTAATATTCAGTCAGTAATATTCACATGTGCTGTTTAAGATGGTGTGTTGGTTTGGCCGAATTTTATCTGCACATCCAGAGTCTTCAATGGAGTTTTGTACCAGCCTGCACATATCACTGTTCTCGGAACACAGACCGAAGAGACACTCATCTAGAAGGCTAGTCAACTGGGAAATAGAAATACTTTATTTAGACACGGTGTTAATCTGTTTCATTTAATGGAAATTGAAAAGAATTTTTTTATTTCGTTTAATTTTGTTTTTTTTGTTTTATTGAATGTCAACATGATCTAAGTTTACACTTCTTTACTTCAGACTTGAAATAGTTAAAACCTAATTAGAAACATATTTGGGTTGTTAAGCTCAGGTCATATACTATATTAATTAATCTAGTTCTCAATTTATTTCTAATTGGACTAGTCTCTAGACAAAACTGAAATCTTTGTATAAAATACTTTTCGTACCTTGCTTGTTTTTTTCAACACAGTTTTTTGTTTCTGAAAGAATAAAATGTAATGTAGAAAATTAAACTTTTGATCTAGTTGTTGTTTTCAACCATGGAAGTTTTAAGATCTAATATAATCTATTCACATAAAATACAGGGGGGAAAATATGTTTTGAATTAATAGTACTATTATATTACATCTAAATTATGGAAATGAAGCTTGTTAAATAAACAATGTAGAAAGGGAGATAACTCTTAAAGCAATTCATTACTAGCAAAACTGAAAATGATTTGGATTAAATTTAGACAAAACTTTTCCTGTACTTTGAAAAGAGCAAGCTGAGAAAAGTAAACGAAACAAATATGGAATTAATTCATTTCTTTCAATTCTTTAAAGTTTCTAAACTTGTTCATATCAGTATTTTACATTTCAAATTTGTCTATGATCTGGTGAAGTTTTTACAAGAGAGACAACATAGATATTATTTCTTACCTCAATTTTGACTTAAAGTAACACCTTTAGTAAAATCAATAAATTTAGAAACCCTTCAGGGTGAAAGACTTAAAAGTAGCAATTATACATAAAACACTGAACCATAACCTTCAAATACAAAAATAAAACACTCAGACACAAAGATAAAGGCACATTCCATATGCTAGGAATAATTTGTATGAATAGTCCTTCTTCCCCAGTGCTATGGAATGGGTTGCCTGAGTCAGCCAGGAAAACCAATGATTTGACAGAGTTAAAGTCATTGATTAACATGCATGACTAGAATGATCTATAATAGAGATATGCATAGGGCGTAATCATCTTTTTTTTAAGTAACGTCTGTATTTCATAAGATAAAAAGATTAACATTGACCGAATTGTCATATTCAGTTTGAAAAAAAAGTGTTTCACATTGAAAAGTGCTGTACAATGTCTACCTTATTAGTGTCTTATGGTGTTATATAATATATAATGTTTACCTTGATAATGCTGTAGGCTACATCTGTCTGTTTGTCATAGCAGTTGACAAATGAAGGATTGTGAAGTATAAAGCAGCATTGTTTGATCGCCTGGACCAGAGTTCTCTTGTCACAAGAATTGCACGTCTCGTGTAGATTGTTCAAGTTGGTTTGAGCGCCAGGGCTAGACACACAGAAAACACTTACTGATATTATAAAATACAGACGTTACTTCAAAAAAGAAGATGAAAACATAAGAAATACTTTTTAAAACAATCTTATACGAAGTGTGATTGTATCAGTTTGGATCAGCCATGTCATTAAATTTGTAATAGATCTACACCAACACATCTGCGATTGGAAATATTTGTACCAATTGTTTTTGTTTAGCGCTATTTCGTGCCTTTAGCTTTCTCAATACGCTGTGATCCTATCACTGGACCAGTTTGGGAAAATGGTGGGAGGGGAAAGAATATCTGGGTGAATTTCAACGTAATCACATTTTAAAATCATTTATAAAAAATAAAATAGAATATATGAAAACCGATAGATTGATATAGGCAAATCAGTTCAGATCATTATAAGTCGATAAGGTTCAATTTGTATAGGACAATGGTTTAAATTGTTATATGCCAATGGTTTAAATTGTTATATGCCAATGGTTTAAATTGTTATAGGACAATGGCTTAAATTGTTATATGCCAATGGCTTAAATTGTTATATGCCAATGGTTTAAATTGTTATAGGACAATGGTTTAAATTGTTATATGCCAATGGTTTAAATTGCTATATGCCAATGGTTTAAATTGTTATATGCCAATGGTTTAAATTGTTAAATGCCAATGGTTTAAATTGTTATAGGACAATGGCTTAAATTGTTATATGCCAATGGTTTAAATTGTTATAGGACAATGGCTTAAATTGTTATATGCCAATGGTTTATATTGTTATAGGACAATGGTTTAAATTGTTATATGCCAATGGACCTCATTCACCAATTGTAAACAAACAACATTTAGCCACGTGGTGCTTTATCTCTTCTATATAATTTACAATCTCATGTTTACTTCATAATGGTTGGCACGTGACAGTTTTTTTTCCATTGTTTTATCAATAAGATCACGTGACTAAATGTTGATTGTTTACGATTGGTGAATGAGGTCCATTGGTTCATATTTTTGTAACCCTATTCGCGACGCAATAGGGTTAACTGTGTGTGATAAGCTGACATATGTGACACAGGCCAATAATACAGTTTAGCGTGCTATATCGAAGGGCAAGGGACAGTACTGGCATAAACTTTGCACGTGAATAGGACCCGGGTTATGGTCATCTGATCATAAGTCTGAGTGAACACAGGGTGTGTAAGGCAGTGCAGTTCAAGACAGGACAGCGAAGAGACCGAGACTGTTAGTCTGCCATGAAGTCGGTCCTGGTGGAGTCCTGAAGTGAATGTACGAGTCCAGGAAGAGATAGAGACAGTAGAGTTTATTTGTTTAGTACGGTGATGTACAGTATAGCCAGGGCCGGTCTTAGACCACTGCAACCTATGCGGCCGCAGCGGGCCCCGCGCAATGTGAATTCTAGGTGTAAATTATTAAATTAAACCATTTCAACTTATCATTAAAATTAAAATATAAGAAAAAGTCATGAAAATCTCCTGACATTATTAAAATCTTCTGAAAACTCAAGCAAATCTTAAAACAGACAAAATTGTCATTTCGGGGTGTCAATTAATATGGAAAACGCCAATCCTACTCGCGATTAAAAAAAAACGACATTGTGTCAGCTTTCATTCAATAAAAATGTAATAATAGGCCGAATTTTAACCAAAACAAGAAGTTCAAAGACTTAATTTACTTCAATAGTCACTGGCATATAAATATAAATCTATCTCGACTTCTCAGAAAAAGACAACAAAAGCGATATTCTGCTAGTCGATAGTAAATCTAAAAGACAGATCTGAATGTTTATCGGCTTTTTGTTGGAGAACTACTATCTATTGTAGATGGCTCGTAAAGTTAATTTGATAGTGATTTTGTACTTGGTAAAATATAAATAAAATGCAAAGACGAATTTATTTTCTAATTTTAAAAAATCTTTATTGTCATTTATTATCCTTATCACAACCCAGATTAGGCCCCGCTCAATCCATTTCGCATAGGGCCCCGCAACCTGAAGGACCGGCCCTGAGTATAGCATTTTTAGTGTTGATGTATTGCCAATTGTGTCATATTGGCTGTTTTAATTGACCATTATTAAAGCACCAGATTATTTTGAGCATTGTCGTCAAGTTCTTGATGTGTTGTTGTGTGTTCAGCAGTGTTTACAAAAGGCTTGATTAGGAAAGATCGTAACAATATTCTTATAAACCAGTCGTTTCAGATTCTTATAAGCCAATCAGTTCAGATTGTTACAATCAGTTCAAATAGATAAAGCGAGTTTAGATGGTTCTATTCAGTTCAGTTCCAGTGCTAACAATGTGGATAGAGTAAGTTATTATGGTCAACTTACAAATTTTGATTGACGTCACCACAAATGACCTTGAGACAAGCCAGATCTTCTTTGGTTACCGTATCCCCCACTTCCTGTGACAATTCTGCAGCTTGTTGCTCTAGTGATGGCCCCTTGCCAGTTGGAGGGGAACAAATGGTTTGTTCCACAGAGAGGTACACAGGCTCTATGGAAAAAAACAACACACTTGCACTTTAAAAAAAAAAGCACCTCAGAGAGGTAATCTAAGGAGATGTGGTGGCTTCTGAACTGCGGTCCCGGGTTCGAATCCTGGTGAAGACTGGGAATTTTAACTTCGACATCTTTGAGCGTGTTGTGGGCTTATATTTAATACTATCTGACTTCGATTCTGTCTCAATTATTACTTCCATTAGCCACAGAACAATACAAGTTAACAATATACTTAATAACGACTTTCACTTGTATAACATGAGACATTTATTTATCAGTGGGAAATCCGTCCAGTCTTCCTAAACGTCGCTATTTCTAAGTAACAAAACAAACTACTTCTATACTATCGCCGTGTTGCTTTCTTGTCGCCTAACTCTGCTACGTCATTAGTCTTGTCTTACTACGTCACTACTTTTACCGTCGCTAAAACTATACACACTATATTTGTCTAACAAAACTAACATATTCTCAAAACTAGTACATAACATGCGCCTCTGAGTCCACCCAGCTCTATTGGGTACCTGACATTAGTTGGGGAAAAGTAAAGGCAGTTGGTCGTAGTGCTGGCCACATGACACCCTCGTTAAGCGTGGACCACAAAAACAGATGACCTTTACATCATCAGCCCTATAGATCGCAACGTCTGATAGGGGTACTACTTTTATTTTGAAAAAACAAATAAGCAGAGTTAACAAAGTTATTCAGACTCTAACAGAGAGGTAATGAGGCTCTAGGAAAAATCAAAAGCATTTAAGTTGAAAAACTTCGCCAAGGACGGTCCCAAACCAGGCTGAAATAATGAGGAGAGACATGTGTAGAGCTAGCTACCCTACTCTGTAAAAAAAACAAACTGCAGAAACATCAAATCAACAAATATGGACGACCTGGGAGAAGATGGACCACCAGCTGGAAGGTGTATGACGCATGTCTGTTAATGCCAGGGTTATCTGGAAGCCGACAGGCCGAAGACCATCATCTCTACCAGGACCACCACCGCCATCGTTGCATGAACGTCCGGACCGGACTCAAGATGGCGTAAGTGGCAGCAGAGACAAAAAATTCGGCCACATCATCAGCTTCTCCTGACACAACAAGGCGATGCAGGAAACTATAAGCATCGTTGCAAACAATTCAGAGAGGCTCCAACCATAAACAGATGTAGAATGCTAGCATTGTTACGAATGTATAAAACAAGGGCGGCAACTTCGTAACGGCTGCAGAAGTATCTCACTGCAAAGCATGGTTGGAAAGGCTTAAACTAGATTACTGCGAAAACTAAACGGCTCCAGATCTTGTTAGAACGAGTGTATCCCGTGTCACAGTGTGGCTGTACGGCAGTCAGATTCCCCCCCCCCCCCCCCAAAAAAAAAACACATACTCAGCAAGGTAATACTTAAAAGATTAAAA